AAACCCTAGAGAGGAAGATTTGTGTAGGAGGGTCCACACAAATTGTGAGGAGGGGCAAAGAAGGGACAGCGAACATGGACGCCGCTGCATGGCGTCCAGTCCGTAAACTAATTTCGGTCCGCTCCCGTATAGATAGTCTAAAACGTTTTTTCATAGGATCAATTATTGTTTCATACATTTGGAAGGTAGAAAACAAAGACTGCGAGATAGACTGATAGACTTTCTTAGTATTGTGCTGTCCCGGAGCCTCATCAGGACCTAAATATTGTATAACACAGAGAGGCACCAAAATTTTATTTCCAAAAGAATTCCAAAAGTTCACAAAATTCCAAAAATTCCAAAAAAATCCAAAAAAAGAAAACCCAAAAGACAGTTTAAAAGAATTCCTTTGAAATCTTCCGGGATCTTTCGGTGTATCATTTTAAAATTGTTTCTTAGCTTTTTTGGAATTTTTTGGAGCTTCGGAATACTTGAAATTTAGTGAACTTTTGAAATTCTCTTGGCATAAAATTCCGGTGCCTCTTTGTGTTATAGTGGTATATTTAGGTTTGCTACGTATCCACAGCCATTGCGATACCCAATAAAATCGACCGCATGGCGCACCTAATACAAGGAATAATTAACCAATGCAGAATTTCATCCTTTTTGGGCTTTGAAACGTTTTCAATAGCTTAATCGCTTACCTTCCACGTAACACCTGGTTGGCTATTTACTAGTTCGACCATAGCTAAGTGATATTCCTCATCTTCTCTATCATGTGGTATAGCCTCATCACCGTCTGGATTCGTGCTCCTTAACAATCTGGTCATCAGTCAATTGTGTGAAATAAGAAATGGAAATGTTAATGAATCTTCATCACTGAAGTTTGAATCGTTCGCTTACCTCCACGTTTCAAAGGCAACACATAGAAGTATCAATAGAAGAAGTACAGCACCTAGTACAAGAGCCTAGAAATAAAATATCAAAATAAAAAATAAAGTCAGCTGCACAACTGTTGGGGGGGCGAGTACTGAAGCGTAACCCATTGCTAGTGTTGCCTTCTTGAGATCCCATCCTTATCTGTAAAATTTGGGAAATCCATCTCAGTTACATCTGATTAATAAAGGGCTAGTTCAGTAGCTCTATGCAGATTTGATTTGACATAGAACCCCCAGTTAATCTTTCTCAGTCTCCGATGCCCAACCCCTTAAAGACAAGAATCTCGATTAAAGGCACGCTCCGCGATCAGGCGGGCTCGCCGGTTCCATCAAGGGAGTAGTAGGCAGGTGGACAAAGTTTGATGTCGCGCCCCTTTCGCGGCTTGAAAGTACGACAAAGGCGCAAGGAGCTCGTCCAACCCGCAACTCACACCTTCGTCCGCAAGCCCCACCCTTCGCTGTCGGTTGCCACGTGGCGCTGCTTGAAAAGCGCGGGCGCATTTGAGGCAGTGGTCCCAGCGCGATCCAATGTTATTGACACTGGAGCAAGTAGAGTTAGGTTCGTGAAACTCGTCCAATTCGCCTCTTCTCTATCCCAAGGTGGAATGTGGCTGAAATAGGGGAGGTCTCTGTACGGGGCGTAATCGGTGGTTTCGTTTGCTTTCCTTCTCTTTTACAGACCACCTCCCACCTATAGCTTCATAACTGAACGCTTTTCCACACCTATTTTATCCCGAATCTTGCCTTTAATGTGATGAAGTGATGCCACTCAAATGTGGAAGAAGGGATTGGAGGTGAACCGCCAGTAGAGAAAAAGGGAAAGA